TTGGAACGTCTTAACACTCAAAATGAAAGATTCTGTGATTTCAACTCGTTCAGTTAGATTTTTTAATCGGCAGGGGTGCATTATTGGATGTCCTTAGCAGGTTCATCAGATCCGAGGTCTGAAGTTAGCTTCTTCGTTATCTGTTGATTGATCGGAATGGCGAATACAACTCAACGTGTGGTTCCGCCGCGCAACGAGATACAAACTCAGCTCTCGCTGGTAGTAAACTCAAGCTGACAATTGAATTCTTGGGCTGCCTCATTCAGACAACGTTTTGTTGTGAAACACGAACTAAATTCATTAGTTTTAACATACGTGGCCCTTCCGGTACTTTGAATTCGGCCATGAAGGTGATGCCTGGATAAGTAGAGATGCCGCGTGTGCACCAATTCCTCAAGTCGATTTTTTGTCAGACTTTTTGTGACGTACAGTGGTGGCTCAACAATACCGTATTTGGTCAAAACAGAGAGATGGCATATGGCGTAATATGTCAACACGTCTTCACGCAGGAATACACAGAATCACGATGAATACAAACGAAAAACGGTTAGCAGCATTCTCATTTCATTGCAAACAAAAAGTAGCAGGTCAAAATTGATCGCGCACGTAGCGTGGTTGATAGGTTAGTGTGTTTTAGGAAGAAGAACTGAAAAGCAGCATGCAACACGTACGACGTAGCTGATTTCAGGAAAATCCCCTGAGATCGGTGCCTATGAGGTTCGGTTTGACCACTGGTCCATGAGGTTTGGTAGTGACCTTAAGCGAAGCGGCCATTTTTGTGCATGTCCAGACATCTGGAATGAGATATCTTGATCAGTTTGCCTAATGTATAGGTTTAATAGATAAAAAGAGAAGACAAATCCTTTGTTCCTATGCGGAGTAAAAGTGGCGCCCAACTATACAGTGGGATAAACACGATTTAGGCTCGAGATCGCTTCTGCATACGGAAACATCGTCAATAATGGGCCCTCGTCGGTGACTGACCTCACTTGAGTTTACTAAATTGCATTTCACTTTTGTTGCCGATTGAAACAATCAGTAATTCGCCAACCTTGACCCCGCTTTACCTATAAACTAGCTAAAACGTCTTCGATGGTCAAAATCTGATATCGTTTTTCTTGAACCTCATCAGTTCCCGAGATTCTATCACGTTTACTGTCAACCCAAACACCAATTTCGCCCAATCAGAGTTGTGCCCCTAAGGGCAAAGTAAATTATTTTCAATGGGATGTGCTCTTCTCAAACCCGCATTTCGAACCTCGGGATAGACTTGTTTTGGATGACAATAAAGTGGTTGATGTGCACTTTGCTGATAAGACCTTCCTCTAAGACTCTGTTCCGTCTAATCCATAAACTCTGAAATATCGGATTCTTATTGGGACTTATTCATGCACAAGCGGTGCGTGGCTGGGGAAATCTCCCTGATAACCATTCCAGATCATTTTTTAGTAAACTAATCGCTTTGCCTTTCCGTTCACGCGCGTTTGTTCAAGCATACTTCACAAGGCGAACGTTCGAATGACTTAAAATCAATAAAATCACTACCGTCAACTCACCAGTTGAACAAGAAAGCATTATTCCTCTTATTGTTACTTGTCACCGTAAATATTGCCAGAATAACGTTTGTCAGACCTAGGGGGTTGCTCACAGTAACACTACCAATCGGTTTATAAGCTTACCTTCGAGACTCAGCTCTCACGTTTTCAGTGAAGAACAAAACTAGTCCTCTTGGATATCATGTTTTATTTCGATATAATAATGCCAAAAAATTGAATGTCCCGTAAAGTCTCTGATTGTTAAAAATGGCAGTCCATCTCACTGAAATGTCATCCTTAAGAGCTCATCACCGAAACGCTTCCAAATCAGTCCACCAGGTGAGTTGAGTTACAGCAACAGAGACAAGAACAAGCAAACTGTCGTATTTTCGAAGCACAGCACTTGTTCTTAGTCTCATCTATCGGCATTAGGTATCAGAAATATATCGATCCAACGACTTTTCTACCTGGTGGATTTTTGGTCTCGAGCTTCCGTTCAATCAAGGAAATTCACTTCGTAGACGCAATACACTACTCAAAAGGTTCATAAACACTCTTCGGAAGCCACGACCTGTTTCACCCTTGTTGGAGCCCATTAGGCTGGCGGAATCTCCGAGTTTCCGTCGAACGAATTACACGAAATGAGAGAACTACACTCATTTGCATACTAATGCGGTTCTGACGGTGTCTCACTTGGAACCCAGCTATATCTCTCATTTATGATGTTCCTAAGCAACTGAGTGTCAGGCTAATTTCTCTTGGGTCACCATAGGTTTGTCAGTGTTCAGCTCCCAGGTAGCATTGTTTTTAAGGTGGTGTTAATATCTTCCGATGTGAGTTAGAAACCAGCTTAGACCGGAACTACCCCGCATCATTATCCGACTGTGACTCAAAATCAACCTGGCTGCCTTCTGGACATCTTATAGTAGACGAGTAAATCGCGCTGTTATTACACCATGTATGTTTTTGTGCCATGAATGGGTAATGCGATGGTGTAGTATGAAGACCGAATCCCATTCATCATATACGGGATATTCTGTCGAGTCTCCGATGAGCCCAACGGTCCCTGCACATTCGCTACCCGCTTGGGCGAGCCGGTAGTTACGGTTTCGATTCATATGTTTGGTCGTTTGCCCTTCTCGAAGTGGAGCCACGTTGAGATTCCGACGGATGATGAACTCGTCCCGTTCGAAAGCTCGCTCCGGGATCCAGGAGCTAGTGATTATCGGGTTGATAGTACGGATTTGGATACGGATGAGGCCGTCGCGGTCGATCACCCTTGGCATAAAACCATTCACCAGGGGACCCAGGTTGTCTGCTAACAGAGTGTACGTAACCGATATCCATTATAAGGAACTCCGACGTAGCCCGTGTAGAAGGCCGGTGGATAACCATACCGTTCAATGTAAAAACCAGCCAGATAGTGTGGCATCCGTTGTCCAAAAGGGTCAGGGTTTGAAGGCCACCGGTTGCCTGAATAACTCGGCCTAATGCCCTATGGATTCACCGAGCATGCATTAATATACACGGTAGAGAACCGTATAGTTTCCTGTTAAAACCAAGTTCGTGTGCAGATGACAGTATTTTTTGAAGTCTGTCTAATTTGGGTCCAGAGAAAACATGAGTTCGCATCCACCTAGTGCGCCCTAAAGAGGGCGAAACCGGTCGCGCGCTGTCGAGGAGTTTTCAGTAACCTCATGAGTAGTGTATTACCTTTAGGTGAATAACATTCAGTTTCACCCTTGAACCCGTGAGGGATAAAATACATTGGTTATTGATCAGGTGGCTGTTGATCTGTTCGTCGAGCTTGGCAATTGATCTGCAAACGTTTCGTCAACCTTCGAGGAGACATCTTCAGTGCGCTGTTGGTTTGGACAGATCCATTTCTAAGCTCGGCGAACTGATCAACAACACCCTGATCAATTACCGACATATGCACCCGAGCTACCAGTATTCCAACACATTACCAATAAAATACATATTTTCCGCTGATTCTGGTAAAGTGAAGTTCAGTTTCGTGAAACTGCATGGATTTTTCTCGACAAGCCCATCCATACAAGCTGACAGTTCTCACATTATTCATATTTTTCGTTAGTAGTATTTGTCTCCTGATTGCTTTGTGCCTTTCTAAAATAAATTGATTTAAAAGACTTGCCGACTGACACCATAGGTTCGCAAAAGACTTTGATCTATACCTTATGGTTACCATGACAGTGATCACGTGACCGGCTGTACAGTATCCGTTTAGCAACTGTTGTTTTTCGTCTTGCTATAAAAGTTTGCGCGTCTCACGTCCACGACTGAACATTGGAAGAGAACTGTTAACAGACGGTGATATATATCTTTCGTTTCCTCGAAAAATAGACTACCGGACCAGTGTTTCGAAAATTCCACACTTTCATTGGATACTATGAGGTTTGAAGTGATATTTATCGAGGCACCGTAATGAAAACGGTAGAGAAACAGTTTATGCGAATGAGAGACGAAGATAACCATGATACACAACGTTTGTGAGAGGGACTAGCAAAACCACTTACTGTCGATGTGTTCAAATATTTGTAGCTCGAGGGCTTTGTTGGTAGCTGATCGGCTGGCGGTTGGTCTGTTCGCCCAGCTTGGGAATTAGTTTGCTAACGTTTCATCCCTAGTCAAAAAGACATCGTCAGTTCGCATTTTTAGTGTTCGTCGAACACACTCTGGTGTTGTCTTCTATTGTGAACGAGACACTAGAAAGCTAATTGCTGAGCTCGGCGGACAAGGCAGTGGCCACCCGATCGAAAATGGAACTAATTATGAAAACCAATCAGCGGAGAGCCAAATGAAGCAATTGATCGAACATAATCAATAATGCGTTGAAGACGATCGATCATTCACCGATCCGAATGTAAGAGTAGTGTTAACCAGTTTAACCATTACAGTATGAGCGTGGTGGAATTCAACATGAGGAAACTTGCACAAATAAGCGGTTAGGGTAAGGCAAATTGAAAATGGGTTCCTCTGTCACCCCTACGTATCCTTAAGGAAACCGATTGATTGACGTACTTCATCTCATAGGAATAAACATCAAGGTACAAAGTCACAACGGAGGTTGCATCCCAGAGTAAACGAAATTCAAGGTTGTTGTTGCCATGATAAAACCGCAGACATGATGGTTTACACTAAACTATTCGATCAAGGTGAAAGAAGAGCAGAGAAGAAAAATATCTAGGCGTGGGGTCGTAAAGCTTAAAACAGCAGAAAACCTGCAAAAATCTACAGGTAAGTTTGTGGAATGTAGGTAGCTTGGGTGCGCTGCTTGGTTGATGGTCTATTCGCCGAGCTTGGCAGTTGGATTGCCTACGTTTCATCACCAATCCAGGTGACATCGTCAGTGCCTCTTCTGCCTGTGGGCATTTAGCATCTAAGCAGAACTACCAGATACTGTTTAGGTGCTAAATTAGAAAAGGAGGAATTCACCCACTTAGCCCTGCACTGACGATGTCACCTGGATTGATGATGAAACGTTTGCAATCCAACTGCCAGGCTCGGCGAACAGACCAACAAGCAAAATCTGCAGGTGACAGAAAGCCGTTATGTAAGTGGAGGAGT